AGGGCAGGCGCTGCAGGCGCTGCAGACGCGGCAGGCAGGCAGGCAGGTAGGCAGGTAGGCAGAGGGCGCGGCAGTGCGCGAACAAGGCAGGTGCTCACCAGTGGCGGGCAGGGCCGGCGCTCGGCGGGCGGCGGCAGGGTAGGCGCACGACGGCGGCGACGGCGGGGCCGCAGCAGCGGCTGCAGAGTAGGGCCGCGGCAGCTGCAGGGCGGGGCCGCGTCAGCGGCAGGTCGGGGCCGCGGCAGCTGCAGGGCTGGGCCGCGTCAGCGGCAGGTCGGGGCCGCGTCAGCTGCAGGGCTGGCGGGGCCGCGTCAGCGTCCGGGCGGGGCCGCGTCGGCGGCAAGGCGCGGCCGCGTCAGAAGCAGGGCGCGGCCGCGTCAGGGGCGGGGCGGGGCCGCGTCGGCAACAGGGCGCGGCCGCGTCAGAGGCAGGGCGCGGCCGCGTCAGAGGCAGGTGGGTCGCGGCGCGCGGGGCTGCAGCGCGACGCGCGGGCAGCAGTCGCGGCGCGCGGGACTGCAGCGCGACGCGCGGGCAGCGGTCGCGACGCGCGGGGCTGCAACGCGCCGCGCAGGCTGCGGACGCGGCGCGCGGAGCAGCAGCGAGTCGCGAGCGGGCTGCCGAGGCGCGACTCGGGCAGGGTGGGCGCGACTCTTGCAAAAATCAAGCCGCGCGCAGGAATTAGGTCAGCGCGCTCTAAGCAGCAGCAGACCGCGCAGTCAGCAGACAGTAGGCAGCAGGCAGACGGCGCGCGCAGCGCAGCACGTCACAGGCACAGTCACAGTCACAGTCGTGGGGTAGCGGTAGGTGGGCCCGAAAAAAAACGGTCCTACGGACCTACTGCTCTGAAACCATGTCAGAATCTAGAGACAGGAATTAATGAACTATGAAAGAGTTGGGTACAAGTATGAAACCCTAAAAGGGGCTGTACCCCATATTGGCTACCCCACTACAGCCTACACATATATAACATGCATATACTTTGACAAAAACCACTTTCCTCGTCGTCATCATCGTAGCCTCTGCGATGCTCCTTTCCGCCCCTGCGCGCGTCTCTGCCGCTGCGGCTCCAGCCAACGCGACCGCGCCTGCTAACGGGACTGCTTCTACTAAAGCGGCTGCCGCGACTGCCAACGCGACAAAGTCAGGCAAGGCTACTAAAGTTGGTAACAGCGCCGTGTGAGTGACGACGGCGAGGCTGGGCAAGGGCGCGGGAGAAGGAAAGAACTCCACATGCGCCTACTACGGAAACTACAACGCCAACCCTTACTTCGCCAAGGGGCTCACCGCGAAGCTTCCTCTCGCGCTCTTCGGCAAGCGCTGCGGCGCGTGCTACAAGGTGGAGTGCCATAACGACACGAAGCACTGCCGCAAAGGTAAGGCGATCGTGACCGTCCGTGTAGTTGGCGAAACCACCACGGAGAAGCAGATCTCGCTATCCACCGTCTCATGGTCGAAGATCGTGCAAGGTTGCGCTACCGCCCCCGTTAATATCACATACAAGCGCACCAACTGCCTTTCGACCGTCGGATCGGGAGTCCGCGTGCGCAAGGACTCGACGGCGGAGAAATTCAACATTCAGATGGTTGGTCTAGCCGGTCCCGGTACACTTACCGAGGTGGAGCTTAGCGCGGACGGGAAGAAATGGATGAAGCTGACGCGCGATGGCAGCAAAGCGGTGTGGCGAATCGCCGGCAAGGAGGCGAAGGAGGTTTTGGGCGCGAAGAAGGCGATGAGCGTTCGCCTCACTGCGGGACACACTCTCGAGAAAATCACCCTCGAGAATGTCATTCCCGCCGACTGGAAGCCCGCGACGGTGTATTCCTCCTAGACCAACTTCAAGAAGCTTATGCCTGAGGCCAAGTAGGCATGGTGTGAAGATTCACTTTTGAGAATTCTCAAAAGTGATTTCCATGTCGGCGACCGGAAGGCCGCAACATTGTACCGGTATTCCTCCATTACCAACTTCAAGAAGCCTTTGCCTGAGGCCAAGTAGGTGTTCGTGTGAAGAATAATTGAGGACTCGTCCAAGTCAGAGCGAAGTGGGGAGGGGAAAGGGAATAGGTTAGCGGGGGAGTGGGATTGAGGGAGGGGAGTGCGATGGTGCAAATTGGCTCTTGTATGCATATGATTTTTGAGTCAACGATTTGAGCTGCCCGAGTTCCAGACTTCTATTTGAGTTGCTTGAGTTCCAAACTACTGCAGAAATTATTAACTACAGAGTAAGGATACCTACCTGTCATGCTTTTGGCCATACTACACCTATGCCACGTGAATATTGTGTAAAAGGAGTATATTCTCCTTGATAGTGTAGAGGATACAGGAGGGGAGTGGGGCGGGAGGGGAATGGGTTAGCGAGTAAGTGGAAGGGAAGGCAGATGGTGCTGGGACTATTGCTGTGGCAACGTCCTTGAGGATTTCGTATTTTGCGTTACTGTACTGTACTATCCAGTGTCAGGGCTAAAAGCAGTAGCGCCGTTGCACCAGCTGCTGCTACTGCTCCGCAATGTTGCTACCGTACTTCCATCGCCGAAACCAGAGCCCCCTGCATTCCCCCATTCCCTCCCCCCCCCCCACCCCCCTCCCTTGCATCTTACTGTAAGTCACTACCATGCCACTAATCTCCACATTGATTACCAGTACCGATTTTAGGTCATTCCACTACCAGAACCACCACTTCCACTAGCCTCACCAGTATTTTTTAGGCGCCTCAAAAATCGTCTCAGACCACCAGAACCACCGCTTTCACTAGCCTCACCAGTTTTTCCAATAATTCCATCAACAGAACCATCACTATCAGTGGTACGTCTGCTGCGGCTCCCCCTATCTCTAGTCTCATCCTAGCCATCGCAATTCAAGACTGTCGCTGATGATGTTCTCACCCCTCCTGCTGCTGCTCGCACCATCAGAGCCAGAATCACCTGCCATGGGATTGCGTGACACAGCATCACCTGGCTCCTCCTAGCATCTCATTTCAACACTGTCACAGGAAATGTTCTCACCCCTCCTGCTGCAGGTGCAGCTGCTGCTGCAGCTGCTGCTGCTGCTGCTGCTGCTGCGACCACTACCCGCCACCAAAACCACCCGTCCCAGAACCACCTGTCCCAGTACCACCTCCCCAGCAGCATTACCTGCACCGTACAGCCTCCCCCTCGACCTCACAGAAGTTCTCTCTTTGTCTTCCTGACGATTGCATAGAAGGAACAGCCTCCCCCAGATGCTCCTCCCTTTTGTGCTCTTCCTATCAGTGCCCATATTATCTGCTGCTCTCACCACCACTGCTTCTGCTGCTGCTGCTGCTTCCACCACCAGATCCACCGCCCCCAGCACCAGCCTCCCCCTCCTCGCTGAAGTCCTCCCTTCGTATTCTGTACTTGCTGAAATACAGTGACGAGCGCATCAGAGACCCGGCCTCTTCTTATCACTGCCCCAGCCTCTTCTTATCACTGCTGCTGTTGCCTGATCTCACCACCACTGCTGCTGCTTCCACCAGCACCACCAGAACCACCTCCCCCAGTACCAGCCTCTCCCTCCTCGCTGAAGTCCTCCCTGCGTATTCTGTACTTGCGGAGATACAGGGAGGAGAACATCATTGGTACGACCTTCCCTGGCTGCTCCTTCCTAATACTGCTGATGTTATCTGCTGCTCTCACCACCACCACCACCACTGCTGCTGCTGCTTCCGCCATCAGCACCAGCAGCACCTGAACCACCCCCAGAACCACCTCCCCCAGAACCAGCCTCCCCTTCCTCGCTGAAATCCTCCCTTCGTATTCTGTACTTGCCAAAATACAGCGACGACCGCATCAGAGGCACGGCCTCCCCTGGATGCTCCTCCCAATACGCCTCCTGAAACGGGGAAAAAATCGAGCGAAGTGTGCGCGGGTTAGTGAAATGGTCGCGCAAATACAAAAGGTACGCCAGCAAACACCCGTTTTGTGATTGGGGTTTAGATACGCTTTTTTTCTCACCTTGTATCGTTGTTCCGTGATTGCAGCGAGCGTGATTCCCGTATAGAATCCCGCGGCATTCGCTATAAGAATCGGCAGCAGCGGCTCGGGAGGCGCGAACCGCAGAAGCCGATCGAATAGCATGCGAGAGACACGTGTCGGCATCGGCGTACGTGAGGAGAACAAGCCCTCGTACACGTCAGCAGGCGACATGGCTGACGTGGCCTTCGCGGAATTCGCCGCGCGTCGTGCAGGGCTCCATAGAGCCCGCAATCTACGGAACATCGCTCCCTACGTCAGGTGCACACAACTAGAAACGATCCAATACTGTGAGTCGCAAAAAGCTTCGGTAAAGAATCAGAAAGGAGAGTCCTTTCAGACGTCAACAGGAAATTCCTTCCGAAGAAACTGCTACCCGCAGCGGTTGGACGGCCAGCAGCTAAAAGCGCCGGTTTATTCGGCAGCCACTGATAGAGACCAAGCTGAGGTGGTCCGCAGGCTGCGTTAATCGGCGAACCGCTGACACGCGGTATAATCAGCGGATCCCCAAGCCTAGTTGCTGAAGCAGGCTAAATACATGCAGATCTATATGCAGCAAGGTCCTATTCTTTCTTCGGTGGAATTTGATGCTTCTCGTTGGTACGATTCCGTTTCAAAACTGTTATTTTGATTTCATAACGTTTCGCATCTCAGCTCCTTGTTAGGATTTTTGCAATTGTGACGACACGGTTCGATCTGTGTCGAAGGATCCGAACTTTGCTAAGCAGGAACTTTTGGAACACGCTTTTCCACTTTCGGTCCGTTTGGAATATCGGCTCATTCTGGAAATCACGACCAGCTAGGAATCGCGATTCCGCCATTGGCGTTGGGCTATCCTTGGTTATTCCTCGTCGCACTTTTCGCGATCGAATAACGCGATTCGGGTATAAAAATTATGGTACCTGCTAGCGTCGCAAAACCATATTTTCCACTCTTTTAGGATCGACTGCAGTCATACGCCTTAGAAACAAACACGCTGTGAAGGCTTGTACGAGGCCAGTGCTGTCGCCCACAATGGGAGGCGGATTGATCGCCGTCGATCAGCGAGCATCGGACGGCGGACCGGTGCTGGAGCCAGGGGAGGAGGGCGAACCGGGGGAGGTTCTTCTGCATTCCCAGCCTGACGTGGGATTGGTGCTCGGCGAATCCGACGTGGACGAATCAGGGAACCTGTACATCACATCCAAGTGAGATTTTTGCCTATCATCTTGCAGGAATCTGGAATTTTGGCGAATCCCTTCTGGCATGTCAGTTACCCTGGTAGGTCTGACCATGGGCGGCTTCATTTGTCCCCTTCTCCCTCCTTCTATCCCGTCTTACCCCCTTCCTTCTCCTCTTCTCGTCTTTCCCCTCCTTTCAGGCATGTCATATGGCACTCCACACACACCCCGCACGGCATCGCAGTCAGCCTGGTCGATCTGAGCATGCACTGTATAATGTGCTTCCCTCTTCCCTTCTCTTCGACTTCTCCCCCTTCTATACCCTTCTCCTTCCAGGCGTGTGGTATGGCACTCCACACACACCCCGCACGGCATCGCGGTCAGCCTGGTGGATCTGAGCATGCACAGACTAGATTGTTCCCAACTTCCCTTCTCCATTCTCCTCCTTATTTTCCTCCTTTACTTCCTTCCTTCTCCTTCATTTCCCAGGCGTGTGGTATGGCACTCCACGCACACCCCACACGGCGTTGCAGTCAGTCTGGTGGATCTGAGCATGCATGCCATCTCCAGGGACCTCGACGCATACCCCAAGCCGTGCATCTACACGCAGGTGGGTAGGTGGGAGCGCTTCCTGGGTGGAATGGAATACCCTCAAGTGCCAGGGAGTCAGCCTGGTAGATCTGAGCATGCATACCATTTCCAAAGACATGGTTTTAAGTATCAAAGTCCCAACCCCCATAGCCCAGCCCTTATACCGAACCCGTAAACCACAAACCCCGACCATGACATTCAACCCTTTAACCCCATACCCAACCCTGATACTAAACCCTTAAACTTCATGCCCGAACCCCCTTCCCCGTCTCCCTCTTTATCCGTCACTTTCAGGTTGACACTGGTGACTGGGAGGACGAGGACGAGGATGAGGATGAGGAGGAGGAAGAGAACTAGTCTGCTTTGAGCCGCTTCAAAACCTATCCTCCATCCAACCCCTCTCCATCCAACTCCCTCTCCTCATCCCTCTCCTCCTTCAGGTTGACACTGGTGACTGGGAGGACGAGGACGAGGATGAGGAGGAGGAAGAGAACTAGTCTGCTTTGAGCCGCTTCAAAACCTATCCTCCATCCAACCCCTCTCCATCCAACTCCCTCTCCTCATCCCTCTCCTCCTTCAGGTTGATACTGGTGACTGGGAGGACGAGGATGAGGAGGAGGAAGAGAACTAATCTGCTTTGAGCCACTTCTAAAGTCTATCCTTCATCCAACCCCTCTCCATCCAACCCCCTCTCCTCATCCCTCTCCCCCTTCAGGTTGATACTGGTGACTGGGAGGACGAGGATGAGGAGGATGAAGAGGAGGAAGAAGGAGAAGGGGAAGAGGAAGAAGGGGAGGGGGAGGGAGCAAGAGGAGCAGGGGCAGCAGCACAACCGAACCATGTAGCCGGATCAGAGAGGGGGAGAGGAGTGGGCGAGGATGAGGAAATGAGGGAGGCGGAAGGAGAGGCGAGAGGAAGCGATGCGTCTGCTGCTGCTGCTGCTGCTGCTGCTGCTGTGGGCAATGGGAGTGTGGCAAACGTGTTTGAGCACCTGTCGCTTATTTCTGAAATGAGGCTTGTTCCGAGAGACGAAGCTGCCTGTGAGTATAGGACGTTCCTCTCGCCTTCTGTCTGTTTCATGTTTTTCTGATTCTCCTTGGATCCTCCTTGTTTCCAAAATGAGGCTTATTCCGAGAGACGAAGCTACTTGTGAGAATATGACTTCCCTTTCCTTCACCTGAAGTATGTCCTACCTATTTTCATACTTTCCTGCTTGTCTTAGAAATGAGACTTGTTCCGAGAGACGAGGCTGCCTGTGAGTATATCAATGGTCTCCCCTACCATCTATTTCATGCTTACACCTATAATGGTATTCTCATACCATTATATTCACCTTGTCTCCTCGCCTTGTGTGTAGCACTTCCCTTTTCCTTCCGTGTTGCATTTCTCTCCCCTCTCTTCCTTCCTCCTCCTTCTTCCTTGCAGCGGAGACCATATTCCTAGGCTATGTGTGAGTGCTGCGTTTCCTTCCCTTTTTTTCTGCCTCACCCTGTTCCCCCACTTTTTCCTCCCCCGTCTCCACCCCTCGCCCTATCTCCTTCGATTTTGCGGTCAAGGCGCTGTGCAACAGTGCTGCATTGAATCTCTCTTCTTCCTTCCTGAAATGAATCTTCCTGTTTCCTCACTCTCTCCTCCTCCCCCTTCCCACCGCTCTTCCCTTCTCCTCCTTGCAGTGGATGCCATTTTCAAAGCGCTGTGCGACAGTGCTGCACTGAATCCCGACCCAGAAGGAGGTGAGCGAGAGGATGGGTTTCCCTAAACCAGCAGACGCTAGCCTAGCAGGCAATGACATATTCTATTATGAAACGCCTAAAAGAGAGGACGACGCTGCTTGCCATCCATTCCTGCCAAAACTGCACCTAAAGGGTTTGGCGAGGGTGAGGCAAGGAGCCTGGGTGAGGCAAGGAGCCTGGGTGAGGCAAGGAGCCTGGGTGAGGCAAGGAGCCTGGGTGAGGCAAGGAGCCTGGGTGAGGCAAGGAGCCAGGGTGAGGCAAGGAGCCTGGGTGAGGCAAGGAGCCTGGGTGAGGCAAGGAGCCTGGGTGAGGCAAGGAGCCTGGGTGAGGCAAGGAGCCTGGGTGAGGCAAGGAGCCTGGGTGAGGCAAGGAGCCTGGGTGAGGCAAGGAGCCTGGGTGAGGCAAGGAGCCTGGGTGAGGCAAGGAGCCTGGGTGAGGCAAGGAGCCTGGGTGAGGCAAGGAGCCTGGGTGAGGCAAGGAGCCTGGGTGAGGCAAGGAGCCTGGGTGAGGCAAGGAGCCTGGGTGAGGCAAGGAGCCTGGGTGAGGCAAGGAGCCTGGGTGAGGCAAGGAGCCTGGGTGAGGCAAGGAGCCTGGGTGAGGCAAGGAGCCTGGGTGAGGCAAGGAGCCTGGGTGAGGCAAGGAGCCTGGGTGAGGCAAGGAGCCTGGGTGAGGCAAGGAGCCTGGGTGAGGCAAGGAGCCTGGGTGAGGCAAGGAGCCTGGGTGAGGCAAGGAGCCTGGGTGAGGCAAGGAGCCTGGGTGAGGCAAGGAGCCTGGGTGAGGCAAGGAGCCTGGGTGAGGCAAGGAGCCTGGGTGAGGCAAGGAGCCTGGGTGAGGCAAGGAGCCTGGGTGAGGCAAGGAGCCTGGGTGAGGCAAGGAGCCTGGGTGAGGCAAGGAGCCTGGGTGAGGCAAGGAGCCTGGGTGAGGCAAGGAGCCTGGGTGAGGCAAGGAGCCTGGGTGAGGCAAGGAGCCTGGGTGAGGCAAGGAGCCTGGGTGAGGCAAGGAGCCTGGGTGAGGCAAGGAGCCTGGGTGAGGCAAGGAGCCTGGGTGAGGCAAGGAGCCTGGGTGAGGCAAGGAGCCTGGGTGAGGCAAGGAGCCTGGGTGAGGCAAGGAGCCTGGGTGAGGCAAGGAGCCAGGGTGAGGCAAGGAGCCTGGGTGAGGCAAGGAGCCAGGGTGAGGCAAGGAGCCTGGGTGAGGCAAGGAGCCTGGGTGAGGCAAGGAGCCTGGGTGAGGCAAGGAGCCTGGGTGAGGCAAGGAGCCTGGGTGAGGCAAGGAGCCTGGGTGAGGCAAGGAGCCTGGGTGAGGCAAGGAGCCTGGGTGAGGCAAGGAGCCTGGGTGAGGCAAGGAGCCTGGGTGAGGCAAGGAGCCTGGGTGAGGCAAGGAGCCTGGGTGAGGCAAGGAGCCTGGGTGAGGCAAGGAGCCTGGGTGAGGCAAGGAGCCTGGGTGAGGCAGGGTGAGGCAAGGAGCCTGGGTGAGGCAAGGAGCCTGGGTGAGGCAAGGAGCCTGGGTGAGGCAAGGAGCCTGGGTGAGGCAAGGAGCCTGGGTGAGGCAAGGAGCCTGGGTGAGGCAAGGAGCCTGGGTGAGGCAAGGAGCCTGGGTGAGGCAAGGAGCCTGGGTGAGGCAAGGAGCCTGGGTGAGGCAAGGAGCCTGGGTGAGGCAAGGAGCCTGGGTGAGGCAAGGAGCCTGGGTGAGGCAAGGAGCCTGGGTGAGGCAAGGAGCCTGGGTGAGGCAAGGAGCCTGGGTGAGGCAAGGAGCCTGGGTGAGGCAAGGAGCCTGGGTGAGGCAAGGAGCCTGGGTGAGGCAAGGAGCCTGGGTGAGGCAAGGAGCCTGGGTGAGGCAAGGAGCCTGGGTGAGGCAAGGAGCCTGGGTGAGGCAAGGAGCCTGGGTGAGGCAAGGAGCCTGGGTGAGATGAGACGATTTGTTTGTCGACTCAAAAAGTTGAAGGGCTGCGTGCAATCCATCCCTGTCAAGTTGGCACCTAGAGGGTTTTACAGGGGTGAGGCAAGGAGCCTGTTTTTGGGGCGCCTAGAAAATAGACGGTCTTGAGGCCTTGCAATCATTCCCTGTCAAAATGGCACTGAAAGGGTTTGGCAGGGGTGAGGCAAGGAGCCTGGGGCTCTGTGATTTGATGTGATTTGATGTGATTTGCTCTGGGATATAACTTTCTTGTCATTTGTTTCTTTTGTCAGAATGTTGTGTGCTTTTCGTGTCAAGGGTTTTTGAGTTCTTTTGCTTGAAATGCCATGTGCTTATTTCTGTGTATGTATGTGGTATGGCTTGTGATGTGATGTGATGTCTCTGTGTTGCTTTCCCTGCAGCGGAGCAAGAGGGGGAGGGCGACTGGTACTATAACGCGGATGAAGTGTTGAGAAACGCACGAGTGGTGAGGAGACGGAGGGATAGAGGGAGGGAGAAGGACAGAGGGGTAGAGGGAGTGGGGAGGGGGAGACATGCATCACCATGTCATGTGGTAGTAACCTTTACACTTGCTGCACTTGTCCTGTGACCACATTTCCACATCACCATGACACCACGTTCCCGCATCACCATGGCACCACATTTCCACATCCCCATGTCACCACATTTCCACATCCCCATGTCACTTTGTTCTGCTGCAGGTGTTACCTGAGGGAGATCCGGACCAGTTTGAAGATGCAGATGAGGATGAGGAAGAGGAGGAGGAGGGAGCAGGTGCTGCTGCTGGGTCGTAAGCTTGTGGGTAAGCGATGGCATGGTGTGAAGTGGACATGGGGATGACACACTGCCACGACACCCACATTCCCCGGCAGGTGTTACCTGAGGGAGATCCGGACCAGTTTGAAGATGCAGATGAGGAGGAAGAAGAGGAGGGAGCAGGTGCTGCTGCTGGGTCATAGACTTGTGGGCATGCAGTGGTAATGACAGTGCCGCTGCTACTGCAGTGTAGTGATACCACATTGCCATGTCACCACATTGCCATGTCACCACCACATTGCCATGTCACGACATTGCCCAGTGAAAAGGTGCTGAATGGATAGACATTAGACAATCAGGCATTTGGGCAAGAGTTGTGGTCTCCTCTTCAGAGTTTATAGTTGATTGTCTTGTCAGAGGAAAAACACATCTACTACAGTTGGTATAATAGACTTGGATAGGATTGTAGAGCGAAGATGCAGAGTGATGCAGGCACACAGCCAGAGCCAATATGATATTCGTTTCGTTACCCTATAAAGGGATGTTCATGAGCGGATGCCTTTGCAGCATCTCGACCGTACAATAATTCACTACAAAAAAACAAGATGTGGTTATAAGGGTGAATCTTCCAGTACACTCAATTCTAGGGTTTTTTTTACCCCTAGATTCTATATCCATGTTTGTAACAATTCAGTGTTCTAGCTGCCGAGGGCGAGCATGAACTCGCCTTCGCACACCAAATCACCACCCACGTACGCCTTGCCCGCCAGCTTGGCGATTCCGAACCGCTTCTGGTACTTGGTGAGGGTCATGCGCATGACCAGGGTGTCACCGGGGGTGACGGGCTTGCGCCAACGGACCTGCCGGGGTTGAGTCGGGTTGGGTTGGGTTGGGAGCAGAGAGGATAAGAGAGAGCGGGGAGTGTGCTGTCTATGCCTCTCAGTCGATCCGCTTCTGGTACTTGGCGAGCGTCATGCGCATGACAAGAGTATCACCCGGGATGACGGGCTTGCGCTAACGGGCCTGCCAAGAGCAGAGGGAGAGGGGAAACAGAGTGGAACAGAAGAGGGAGAAGTAGAGAGGAGGAGGGGATAGGAGAGGAGAAACAGAGTGGAACAGGAGGATAGACGAGGAGAGGGGAGGGGAGAGGAGGGGAGACACGAGGAGAGGGGAGAGGGAAGAAGGGAGGAGAGGAGGTGAGGGATATACATTCAGTCTTCATGTTGTATTCATGTGCAACTGATGTCCTCCACTTGAAGCTGAATCTCAGTATATACCCAATCCTTTCTTCTCTAACCCAGAGTCTATTTTTGAGTCGACTCAAAAATACGTATTCATGTGCCACTGACGTCCTCCACGTGAGGCTGAAATTCAGTATATACCCAATTCTTTTCTTCTCTAACCCAGAGTCTGGACCCTATTATCATCACCACCCATGGAACCATCCTGAATTGCCCTGAACCACCCTCAACCACCCTCAACCACCGAAAAACTCACCCCGTCGACGCCAGCAAAGAAGAAGGCGTCTCTCTTGCCGCCAAAGTCGTCAGTAAGCATCACGATTCCTCCTAGCTGCGCCATGGCCTGCAAAAAGAGGGTGAGGGAGACAAGCGGTGAGGACGAAGAAGGCATCTCTTGGCGCCAAAAGTGAGCCCACAACCGACCCCATACGGCATGAGCACGCCGGGCATGACGGGGCGCTCGGGGGAGGAATCGGGGAAGAAGTTGAAGGGGGGCCGAGGGGGAGAGGTTAGATGGAGGAAGAGGGAGGAGACGTACACGGGGGGCGGAAGGGCAGCGAGCGTACCTCGACCATGAGCACGCCGGGCATGATGGGGCGCTCGGGGAAGTGGCCGGGTAAGAAGGAGTGAAGGGGCGAGAGACGGTCAAGGGAGGGAGAGGGAGGAGAGTTACACGGAGGGCGACAAGAGCAGGGAAGGTCAAGGAGCGTCCAGGTAAGAGCGAGGAGCGTACCTCGACCATGAGAACACCCGGCATGATGGGGCGCTCGGGGAAGTGGCCGGGGAAGAAGTTGTCGTTGACGGTGACGTTCTTGATGCCTACCGCCGTCACTCCCGGCTGGTACTCGATCACTCGGTCCACCAGCAGGAAGGGGTATCTGGAGGGAACGGTGGGGAACGGTGGGGAGTGGTAGAGATGGAAGCGACATTTGAAGCGCCTCACATAGCGTTCTTGATGCCTACCGCCGTCACTCCCGGCTGGTACTCGATCACGCGGTCCACCAGCAGAAAGGGGTAACTGGAGGGTTGGGGAACGGTGAGATTGGTACAATGATGACGCCATACGAAGCGTTCTTGATGCCCACCGCCGTCACTCCCGGCTCGTACTCGATCACTCGATCGACCAGCAGGAACGGGTATCTGGCGAGTGAGGAGGGGAGTGATGAGATGGAAATGATATTAGGCGGTGCCTTAAAAGGAGCTCTTGATGCCCACCGCCGTCACTCCCGGCTGGTACTCGATCACTCGATCCACCAGCAGGAACGATATCTGGCCGGAACAATGGGATGGCCAGAACAATGGCCGGCAGAAGCTTCTTGATCTTGTTGATATCCAACACAGCAGGGGCGTTGGTGAAGGCTGCAGAATGATGATATGTGAAACTGAGCGACACCACCCATGCGACACCACCTGTGCGACAGCACCTGTGCGACAGCACCTGTGCGACAGCACCTCTGCGACAGCAACTCTGCGACAGCACCTATGCGATAGCACCTGTGCGTGTTGAGTCTCACCTGTGAGGCAGAAGCTCCTTGATCTTGTTGATGTCCAACACGGCCGGGGCGTTGACGAAGGCTGCAGATACGGTAAATACGTGCAACGTAAAGGGGAAAGCAGGGAAGGGCAAGAGGCTAGAGTGTCTGAGAGAAGGATGAAGGAAATGAGAGGCGAAGATGTGTGCTGGTAGGGATAGCATACGGACAAATGCTCGACTATGGGAACCAAAACGAGAAGAGGAGGGACAGCAGAGCACCAGCGATAGAAATGGCGAAGGACCAGTAGCGGAGTCAGGGTCACGGAGGACCTATGGGAGGTTAGTATGACCGAAAGACTGTGCGGAGTCAGGATGACTAAGAAGCTGTGACTGGTCAGGATGACAGAGGACCTGTAACTCACATTTCTCAATGGGGATCGCCTCTGTAGCAGTCGCAGTCGCAGCGGCTCCATCGGCGTCGCAACGAATCGCCGCGGCGAGTGGGCGACGTGCGACGGCCTTGTGCGACGCCTTCGTCGCGAGCGACATCCCCGAGAAGCTGGAAGCCAGAGGCCTGGCGGTGGAAACCGCAGTCGCGCGAGCCGGCACGGATGCGAAGGCTGCTGCCTGCATCGACACGTCTGCGAGAGTGGCTGCCATGTTTCAGAGCTTTCTAGGTCCGAGAGGTGCTAGGATGCTGGTGATGCAGAGTAATCTGCAGATGCGGCTGCAAAGCCAAAAAAAGCAGCACCGGGAAATATGGCAAGACCGATCGGAGCAGCAGCAAGGAGAGAGGCAGCAGGCGAGCTAACTGCTGAAATGATGAGGTGCAAAAATGGGGATCTGACTGGGACGGTTGCTGGGGTTGCCTCCAGAAAGCCATGGATTTGCATTCAGAGGTTATGGGAGGTTGAAGTAGTGGGGCGTGTTTAATAACAGCACTACGAATGCGTACGCGCTTTCGTTACATCTATGTTTCGTGTGATACTGTCACCAGCTGGCTAGATTGTTGATACTTGGATTTGGAATCGGTCAAAGGACGGGCCTTCTGTGACACGACCCTCAACTCTCGAAATTGTGGAGGTTTCTCTTTATGCTCATTGGCTGCAGGGTTTTGCTGTCGATCCCAGGGTGATGCTGACGTGACAGGATGAGCTCAAGAAAAATTGTCGGAATAGGTGGCGAAAAGACGGATTGCCCAACCATTGACAAGGAGTCAGGGAAAGATACGTGACGTGGATCCACGCCACGCTGTCCTACACACGCTCCTGAAGTTGCCAAGTCGACCTGTCGTATCAGTGACCTGCCAGGGTAAATCGTTTGGATTGGTCAGATCTGACTGGGTTGCTGATGGGGAAACGCGGTAGAGTAGCTTCCGTTAGGACAATCGACCACCAGCGAAGTGCGTGTAGGCCTGTCTCATAGAATTCTTCATTGTTGTGATAACGCGTTGGCTGACAGCGAGTAGGAATGTTTCCACCGAGACCCAGTTTGCGACTGACATGTTCGGAAGCTATGGGTGTCTGACATCCATATCCACGAGGAAATTCATAGTTTCACCAGTATATTACGCATCATTGCTGCTAGTTTTGTTCTCCGCTGGCCTTAGTGTGTCGCTTTCTCACATCTTCTGTTATCGTTGGCTTCGTGCCAGTGCGACCGCGCTGACCTCGTTACACAGGCAGATCGTCAAAAGCTCCGCGTTTGCACCCAGGCATGTCGCATCCGGGAGTGTTACAACCAGGGTTACATCCAGCGTTACAACCAGCGTTACAACCAGGGTTACAACCAGCGATGTTCGACGCGCGCAGACTAGCAACGGCAGTACCAGAGGACATAGTATTCTGCATAGACACCGACATAGAGGCGGCGCGCGATTTAAAGCCATCCAGTGGCGCAGTCCCCCCCGCGACAGCCGCTACAGGAGCTACAGCCGGTGAGGGGGTGGGAGGAGAGGGTGCAGGAGCGGGATCAATGGCTTCACAAGCAACAGAAACAGCAGCAGGAACAGGAGGAGCAGCAGCAGCATCAGCACCACTAGCTGCAGCATCGCTAACGAGAATAGACGCCATTCGGCAGGCTCTGCTGCTGTTCACGCACTCCAAACTCGCCATGAATCCGTCGCACAGGTGAATTCCTCGCACAGGTGAATCCCTCGCACAGGTGCCGTTTGTCTCACGGGAATTTTGGGAATTCGAATCTAAATCAATAATGATAATAAACTTCTTTGAAATATTGCATATATATATATATACTAATTCAAAAAAAAATGCACACATGCACCCCTTTTTCTCTCTCCCCCCCTCCATTCACCCCAACAGGTTCGCCCTGGCTGCACTGAAGGGCAGCACAGCAGCAGCACCCGCCTCCCCTGCTTCCTCCCCACGGCAACCACAATTATCCTGGGTAAGAATTTGTGTGGAAACAGGTTTGCCAGTTTCATACGCCCACCACACAGGGACGACTTTTGAGGCGCCTAAATAAAAACTGTGTGGAAACAAGTTTGCCAGTTTTAGACGCCCACCACTCAGAGAGCTGCTCCCCCTGGCTCCCCCTGGCTCGCCCGCCTCCTGCTCCGCCTCCCTTGAGGTGACTTTTGAGTCGACCCAAAAGTCCACCTCCTCCTGTCTACTTTCGAGGCGCCTCAAAAGTAGACTCCTCAAAAGTGACTTTTGAGTCGACCCAAAAGTCCACCTCCTCCTCCTGCGCCACCTCCCCTGCTTCCTCCCCGCGGCAATCACAGTTCTCCTGGGTACACTCTTGTTGTGAAAGCAGTTTGCTAGTTTGAGACGCCCACCTAACCAAACACGCACGGTGCTTCCTCCCCTGGCTCCGCCTCCCCTGGCTCCGCCTCCCCTGGCTCCGCCTCCCCTGGCTCCGCCTCCCCTGGCTCCGCCTCCCCTGGCTGCGCCTCCTCTGCTTCCTCTTCACGACAACCACAGCCCTCCTGGGTACACTCTTGTTGTGGTGCCTCAATCAAATATGTGTGGGTAACCATTCCCAACCCCCCCTTCCCCCCTCCCCCTCATCCTTCCTGCTTCATCCATCCAGTGGCTGGGCATTTCGCCAATGACATGAACTCTCTCTCTCCTTTCTCCTCTTTCCTCTCTGTTGGTGTGACTTTTGAGAATTCTCAAAAGTCACACCAATATAGCGGATGATCATTTCGCTAATGACATGAACTCTCCCCTTTCTCCTCTTTCCCTCTCTGCTTCATGTCTCTACCTCATTCTGTCTGCCTGAACTCTCTACTCTCTCTCTCTCTCTCTCTCTCTCTCTCTCTCTCTCTCTCTCTCTCGAATGGTCCTTGCATTACTTATGAGGTGGTACAGTGGAAGATGCAAACACACAAGCTAAACAGACACGCAAACCGGTATCCTATCTACTCCACATCCCCTACCTACACCCGCCCCCCCCCCTCTGTCCGACCCTACTGGTCGAACGGGGGCTCATCAGCTGGTGCAGCTGTCCCTCACTAAGAGGGATGATGGGACCCCGAAAGCCAAGCTCGTCCGCCGCCAAGGCCTCGTTGGTCTTGGTGCGGAGGGCATTGGCCTGCGCCCGCTGGAGGCACACGCTCCAGCGCTGGCGGTACTCTGTCAGCAGCTTTGCTGCCTCGTAAGAGGTTGGTGCTGCGTTGAACCGCAGCTTTGCCGCCAACTCCGCGCACTGCCGCAGGTAAGCCATCACCCCTGGCGAGGGGTAGCCGTACGTCTCCACTGCAAGCGCGTGGAACCCCACCCACGCGTTCCTGCGAGCGTACTTCTCCTCCTTCCTAGTTGCTGCCGCCCTAGCCGCCCAACCAGGAGCTCGGTTACAGTTCTCGTCCTGGTAAGACACCGGGTCTGTTACGGTCACGTCGCACATCCATACCTCTCCAGTCAGGGGATGACGGATGGTGACATCCGCCTTTAGATTTTCAACTAGAGAGTAGACATATGTCTCTTTGTGTACCGTAAAGCCCGACTCAGCCCCTATGTTTGCTATCTCATCCCGAAGAGCGTGGTGAGTAGCAGTCCTCCCTTTCCCCTTCTCGCAGCGCATCAGGTGGTTGGGGAGGCGGTCATCGGGGAAGGTGGTGCGGTAACGGCAGTCACAGCGTCTAGGCACGGGGAGGGGGAGGCCTAGGCGGAAGGCTGCTGCAGTTGAGAGCTGGGATGGGCCCATCCGGAGCGAGGGGATGAGGGGAATTGCTAGCAGCCAGTCCCCCGCGCCTAGGCCTAGCACCGACTGCATCCGCTGCGCGTGGCCAGAAAGGGGGTTGGGGCGCATCCGCCTCGCCCCGCGCATGACCCTCAGGAAGCGGCGGGAGTGAACCGCCAATGCCAGAGACTGCTGCAGCTTCAGTCCCTTCGGGTCCGCCTTCCCGGCCTGGAGCACTTCCAGAGCCTCTGGGGGGAGAGCTGCCTCTGCAGCAGCGAGGCGTGCTGGCAGCGCGTGCGGGGAGCCGTGGGTCGGGTCCAGTAAGGGGAGGAGCGCGGTAACAGCAGGGTGCAGTGAGTCCTCCAAGGAGTGCAGGAGGTGGGCGGCGCTGACCACCGAAGCAAGGTAGGCGTAGCTGCCTTCAACAGCGGGGTCAGTGATGCCGAGACCTCCCAGTGTCACCGGCAGGGCCGCCTGCCGCCAGATCCGTCGCCTCTCCCTGGCGCTCCTCGGGGTAACGATGTGGGCCGAATCTAGGAAGGTGAGTAGAAGCTGCTCCCCCCACGCAGACCATTCCGCTACAGGTAGCGCCTCCAGGGGGGTAGTTCTGGCCAAAAAGGAGGCGCGGCGGCTGACACAGCGGGTGAGGAGGAGGAGGCTGAGCTGGGGATCCATCTGGGCCAGCAGGGGGAGAGGTGCTGCTGCTGCTGCTAGTCTCTCCCGCACCGCGCTGGCGCAGCCCTGTGGTGTGCCGATGGGGCTGCCCAGAATCTGCAATCCCTCCTCAGAAATAGTGATGCCTGGAGGTACGGAGGAGGGGTTTATTGCTGCCGCAGACCACGCCGCGCACTTGGCCTGGTTGTGTACTAGGCCGAGGGCGGCTAGCGCGGATGTGAGGTGGTCGAAGGCTGCTGTGCAGGCCGCGGCGTCACCGAGCAGCGTGATGTCGTCGGCGTATGCCAGCAGGACCACCTGTGGGTGTGCAGCTGCCGTGTCAACGAGGCACGGGTGGATGCTTGCCGCGAACAGGAGGGGGCCGAGCGGGTCCCCTTGGCGGACTCCTCTGGCGCTCTGCAGTGGGGCCGCGCCGAAGTCATGGTCGAGGTAAAGTGAGGAGGGGTCCCCATAGGAGAGGCGGACGAGGGGGATCAGATTTTCCAGCGCTTCGTTTTTGAGTCCCTCGAACACCGCTCTCCTCTCGACCGCGTTGAAAGCGTTCGCGAGGTCGATTTGCAGCGCTACTGCTTCAGGGTGGACCTCGAGGTATGTACGTGCCGTGTGGATAGCCGCCTCAATTCCCCCCGCTACTGCCACGCCGAACTGAAGGGGGGCGAAGTGAGATCTAGCGGCCGGCGCGGTCAGGAAGAGAGCAGCTTTGGTGATGACCCGAAGGAGACACTCTCCGACCGCGATCGGCCTCGTCCCTCCGTGTGGTTTCGAAAAGGCTAACAGGCGAGAGGCGGTAAGGAGCTCCCCTGCGACGGCAGGTAGTTTCCCTGCTAGAGCCGTGTTGGAGAGGGCTAAGAGGTGGGTGAATACTTCGGCGTTTCCTAGGGCTGCATCGCGAATGTGTTCGAAGGTCGTTCCTGAGGGGCCAGCCCCTACTCCGTTGGGTAGCTTGGCGATGAGCCTCCTGAAGTCGCGGGCTTCGATAGCGGGTGGGTTTTCTGCTGTGGCAGCGTGTAGCCAATCAGGTAGCATTTGGCATGCAAGTGGGTGTCTCGCCGTGAGGGCCTCGAGTACTTCAGGTGAGGCAGGTGACACGGGCGTGGCTTGCAGGGATTGCAATGATTTTGACAGGTTACCACGCTTCGCCAGCCCCTCCGCACGGGCGAGAATTCCGGTTGTGTCAGGTGCGTGGCGAGGTTGCGGAGGGAGGGAAATCGCCCGAGCAGCTTCTTCGTATAGGCCGGCCCAGGACCCTTGGCGAAATCGCAGGAGCCGGTTCATCATCGCGCTCCAGTCAGGTTTGCGGGCTGACGAAGTGCGAAGGAGTATGCGCGGGAGGAAGGTCAGTAACTTCCAACCTGGCTCAGACTCGGGGTTGGCTGCCAGGTGGAGTAACGGTGTCAGCAGGCAAATCGCGAAGGACTCGCGAAGGGCTTTTGGGGGGTGGCGGGCGAGAGGTGGTTGGCGACTGTCGCGCAACGGGTTGAGGTCCCAGTCTGCAACCTGTGCGAACAGGTCAGAATTTTTCGCCAGGTCGTCAGGTTTTAGCGTCGGGGGGGTTGGAATTGGGGCTGCAGAATTCCCATTGGCTGTTGCAGAGTCAACTCCGTTCTCTGTCGCGGTTCGATTTCCCCCTCTTGCTTGATTTCCCCCCGCGGCTCGATTTTGGGCTGTGGTTCGGTTGGCAGGTTCGCCTCGTGCATTCGGGCTGGGGAACTCTGCTCCCCGAACCAGAAGTTCTAACTCCTCCTCGTCTTCCTCAGCTTCTGCTTCCAACATCCCCTCTGTTTCAGGGTTAAAAGCAGGGTCACCCCCGTCACTTTCATCATTCTCAATTTCCTCCTCTGCTTCCTCGCTAGACGCCTCCTCGCCGCCTTCTGCGCCTTCCCGCATCAGCCTCTCCGCTGTTCTTGCGTAGCCGCTCGCGCCGGTGCGGCGCCGGTTTGACCCGCGTGTTCCACCACCTCTTCGACCTCTCCCGTTCCCACGTCGCCCGCGGCGGCTGCTGCCGCATCCCACGCGGATTCCCCGCGTTGCTCTTCCTCCCGCAGCTCCCGCGCGCCCCGTCTGAGGTGCGGCGACCGCCTCGTCCTCACTTTGTCGGCGCGCTGGCGTCGGCTGCGGTATTGTCGGGGGTGATGGACCCATCCGCGAGATGGGATCCGGAGCTGGAGGGTTCTGCGGAGAGCGCGCTGCCAGAGCCCGCGCCTGCCGGGCTTCGTCCGCGAGTCTCTGCGCGCCCCTCCGCAAGTGAGCCCGTCCGCCGCTTCGAGCGAGTGCTAACTCTTCCTCTTCGACCTGCCGCGCGCCCCACCTCGCCGGAGTATTCGTGGGCCCCCGCACGTGTTGCGTCGAACCGCCCTGACGGTCAGCCGCGTCAGGAGCGCGGGCGCTCGCCTCCGCGTCAGCCTCCTCGGCAGCCCTCTCCTCGCCGCCCGTCTCCTGAGCATCGCGACCCTCATCAACGCAGGGAGGGCGATCAGCGGTCCCCTGCGCGTCCTCGCTCTCCTCGCCGCCCATCCCCTCGTGGTCGGACAGGCCAGCGCTCACCCCGAGCGCGATCCCCCGCGCAACGCTCTCCGCGGCGATCTCCGGCGACGCGGGGGAGGGGGTCGCCAGGGCGTCGCTGGGATTCGGGTCGCCGCGAGCAGTCCCCCCCGCGTCCGCACTCGGCTGGTTCTGGTGGCCGACGAGGCTGGCGGAATGGCGGTGGGCGTGGCGGTAATGGTCACCAGCAAGATCCTGCCCTCGATCGGGCCACGAATGCGTTTGCGGAAGTGGTGCGGCAGGCGCGGGCGAGTGGGGAGGAGACTCACGTACACATTGCTGTGACCAACGGTCCTCCCCTAGCCTCGGACCCTGGCCAGGCTGCTCCTCTGCGCGCGCCGACGCTGCGCGAATATCGACCCGCGCGGGAGGGGAGGGCTCAGTTTCGCACCCCTCGTCAGGTCCCGGGCTTCTCCGCGCAGCACTTCTCTGTTGGCCGGACACCTGGCTGGCCGGCGGCGTTTCCGCGCGAAGCTCCGACTGCACCTCCCCCCACTCACGCGGGGAGAGACCCCATGCTGACCATGTGCCGGATTCTGAATCTGGCGGAGGCGTGCGAGGTGGTGGCGAACTTGCAACTGGCGGTGTGTGGGGCCACGCGGAACTTTCCGAGCAGTTACGGTCCAGGGTCCCGAGGATCCTGCGTGTCTTTGGCAGAATCTCTCGAGTCGCCGTTGGCACCCGTGTCGGAAGCGCCCGCCGGGGTAGCGCCCTTAGCACGTACCTTCCCCCGCCACGTGGGGGATCTTGTTGGGGCTGCTCGAGTCGGGACCCCAGTGGACACACTTCAGTCGTCGGCGCATCTCCTCCTTGCGATGTCGGCGTGCATGCGCTCGATGCTTGAGGTGGAGGGGGCGGAGCCGTACACGATGTAGGCTTCCGCCGCGTGTAGTACTGCATGCCTTCTCCTCTTGTTGTTGCCCTTCTCCCTTGCTTGGATTGTGTGTGCGCTTCTTTATAAGCCGATCCTTCGGTCGTAGTCTTGCCACCAGGAGCGCGCGGCCGAAGGCCGCCGGCGCGAGCTGCCGAAAATGAAACACACACGAAATAATGAGGCAGAGAAGGCACAGAGGGGCCTTAAATAGGCTCAGAGAAAGAGGGCAGAGGGTAGAGGAAGAGGGCTGAGTGCTAAGGCCTTCCTCTCTCTCTCTCTCTCTCTCTCTCTCTCTCTCTCTCTCTCTGCTCTCTGCTCTCCCCTACTTCATGTCTCGGCTTCACTTTTTTCTCCGCGTCCTCTTCCCCCTCCCCTCCTCCCCCTCTCTCTCGGGATTCGTGCGTCCATCAGGTGGTCGAGCATTTCAACAATGACATGAACTCTCTCACCGGCCCCCCCTTCATCCCCTCACCACCCCTCACCACCGCTTTCTCTCCCTCCGCATCCATTCCCCCCTGTCCTTCCGGCCTCCCATCAGGTGGTCGAGCATGTCACCAATGATATGAGTTCGCTCCTCTCGCCCAACTCTGCTGTGACGTTCGTCCCTCTGTTCTCTCTGCTTTCCCAACCTTTCCTCCCTATCAACCCCTCTGCTCCTTGCTTTCCCGGCCTCCCATCAGGTGGTCGAGCATTTCACCAATGACATGAGCTCTCTCCTCACTGGCGTCCAATCACTGCACACCACGTCAGCCTACTCCTCCGTTGACCTCTCCCCACTCTTCCGCGCCCTCGCGTCAGAGTCGCAGCGCTCAGCTGATCGTGGCCGTTCATTGCGCCTGGTAAGATCCTTACTATTACTGCCTTACATATATATATATATATTTTTTTTAATGCGCCTCAGAACTTACAAAGACCCTCTTTTCCTCCCCGCCCTCCAGATTCTCTTCTACTGCCGTTCTTCTTGCATCCCCAGTCCACGCCCCACCACGCCCCACGCCCCGCCGTCCCTTTCACTGCCGACTGTCCCAACAATTTCAACTGCATTCACAATTCCTCCCCTTCCCTCTCCCTACCTTCCAGATTCTCTTCTACTGCCGCTCCTCTTGCATCCCTGGCCCTCCTCCCCACCGCGCCCCTCACCCCGCTGTCCCATTCACTGCCTTCGGCATCTACTGCATTGGCACGACGTGTCCCAAAATATATATATATATTTTTTCCCTACCCTCCGTGCGCCCCCTCGCCCCTCTCCATTTCACCCTCCAGATTCTTTTCTACTGCCGCTCCTCGTGCATTCCCCGTCCACCTCCCAACCGCGCCCCTCGCCCCGCCATCCCCTTCACTGCTGACTGTATCTACTGGCACGACCGCCCCAATAATTTCAACTGCCCGCAAGAAGTTTTCGACGGGCTGACCGCTGCCCTGGAAGCAGTTTCCGTGCCCGAGCCATATATCTGGGAGAACAGCAGCAATTCTGCAAGGTACATCTTCCGAGCGACATCCTCGTTATTAGCACACCCAGCACAGCGACTAGCTGACGACTACCTATCCATGCCCAGGGTTCTGGACTCAGGGCCCAGAAACACCTCACCAGGAGAGGGCACTGCTTCGGGTGTACCTGGTTCAGGTGCATCTGGGTCAGGTTTAACTGGTTCAGGTGCGCCTAACATAGGGTATTACTCTGGAGGTGCGGGTGGGTTGGAGGCGGTTTATGGTGGTAATGGGGGAGAGAAGGGTGAGAGGGGTGACAGGGGAGGGAAAGGAGAAATGGGAGAGAAGGGGGAGAGGGGTGAGAAGGAGAAGTCATCTGGAGGGTCGTTATGGAGCAGACTGGGACAGGGGAAGAAAGATACTCAACGTGACTTGCAGTGATGTATGGTGGTGACCAGGCGACGTTTACACCTCTACTCTGTTTTGTCTGTATGCCTGTAACAAGACCAGGTTTCCTACCAATAAAATGCATAACGAGTTTAAGGTAACAATTCTTGAATGACATTAGGGTGCATGCATGCATGCATACATTTTTGTTTGAAAAGTACCACAGAATATTGATAAGGTAGGTAAATCCCACACAGCACATGTACCGTATTTTCAACGCTCCGGTCTGGTAAGAGGGTTCCGGGGTGGCCAGGGTGAATGGATGTATGGTAACACCCCCCATCCTGTGACCCATGCTTTCAACTCACACACACAATGGCCGATCCGGTTCAGTTTCAATCCCAAGAAATGAACGCTCATCTCTTCCTTCTCTTCTGCACCTGTTCCTCCCTCTCCACCACTCTGCACACCTCCACATCCACCCCATCGCCCTGCAGCGCCTTGAGCCAAGCAGTCTGCTGGCATGACAGCTGGTCCCGAGGCCCTTTCACCTCCACCAGCTTCACCTCCCCCCACAAATCCCCTCTTGCCCCATTGAACCCGTACCCCCAATTCCCTTTTTCCCCTTTCATCAACCCCAGAGAAACCGCTCTTGACCCATTCACCTCCCGAAGCTCCCTCTGAGCCTCAGCCCAAAGCTGAGGTTCAGCCGGGCGTCTCCTCCAGAGCACCAGGTCCGGCATGCCGCCCCTCCAGTTACTGTAGCTGTCCGCCAGCCGCTCGCAGATGGCTGCTACAGTGACGCAGCCGGCACATAGGACAATTTCTGTGACATCTGAGAGGCTTATGGAACGCTGGTTGCTGCTGCTGCTGCTGGCAGCAGGTGGGTTTGGCACAGTATTTGCATTAACAGAAGGCGAAGCAGCAGGATACACTCCTCTGGAAACATTTTCAGAACCAGGTGCGCTTGGAACAGTATCTGCATCAACACAAGGCGCAGCAGAGGCAGCAGCAGCGGCAGCGGCGGCGGCAGCAGCGGCGCCAGCAGCAGCAGCAGCGGCAATACTACTACCTGCAGCAGAAGTAGTTTTCAAAGCAGTAGCCGAAGCAGCGGCATGAGCAGGAGCAGGAGCAGGAGTAGCAGTGGCTGAAGCACCCACGGCACTACCCCCAGGACCATCTTCCGTCAAAATCCCCAAACCCACGCACAGAGTGCCGTGGTGCTCGTGCCATCTCTCCCTCAGCAGCTTCACTGTAAACAGTGTGCCGCCCACAGCACACACACCGAAATTGGAAGCTATAGGACAAGCACCGAGTGTGCTGCTCCCAGGAGTGCCGCCCAGAGGACAAGCACCAGGAGTGCCGCCCACAGGAGTGCCGCCCACAGGAGTGCCGCCCACAGGAGTGCCACCCACAGGAGTGCCGCCCACAGGAGTGCCGCCCACAGGAGTGCCGCCCACAGGAGTGCCGCCCACAGGAGTGCCGCCCACAGGACAAGCACAACAAGCACCATTATAATAAAGAACTTCCGTACATCCACCACCTCCATCCTTCCCTCCCACTCCTCCCTCTCTTCCCTCCCCTCCCTCTCCTCCCTCTCCTCCCTCTCCCATGCACTCGCCTCTGCATTGCCCTCCCAGCAGATCTATTAGGCGAGCTTGAATCAGAGCGCCTCGGGTGGATGCAAAAGAAGGGGAGCCAAAGTCGAGAGGAGCAGTCTGGGAAGAGGGCGGAGGGGAGAAGGGGAAAGGAGGGGAGTGGAAGTTGGAAGAACACACAGATAGGCAAAGTTGACACCCAGAAGAGCAGCCACGTGAGAATAAGTTGTTTTTGAGACGTCACCCCTCGCAGTGCAACCACCCCACCACAACACACACACAGAGGCCTATATCTTGGGACCAGGTACGCACCTGAAAGGGATGATGAAAGGCGTCAGGCACAGGGGCGAAGATGACATCCCAGACGAGCAGATCGAACAGGGTCGACCACAGGGAGCCCTCGCAGTGCAACCACCCTACCACAACACACACACAGAGGCCTATATCTTGGGACCAGGTACGCACCTGAAAGGGATGATGAAAGGCGTCAGGCACAGGGGCGAAGATGACATCCCAGAAGAGCAGCGTGAAGAGGGTCGACCACAGGGACCCCTCGCAGTGCACGCCCTTCCACCCTCCTCCCTCCTCAATGCTGTAATGCTGCAGCGCTAGCTGCTCAACGCTGCACTGGTCGTCCCACCACGCAGCAGGAGATGCTTCCTCACATTCACCTCTCGACTCTTCTCCCATTTGCATTTCGTCAGAGTTCTGGGGAAGTCTGCATGTGGCTGTGACAGGAGGGCGTGAGACTGTAATGGGAGCCATGCTGTAGAAGCGGCTTTTGGCGCCCACCTCACTGTTCACTGGGCGCCCCACGATGCGAACCTGAGGGGGATGAGGTGAGGAGAGGAGATAGGTGAGAGAAGAGGAGGCTGATTTTGAGAATTCTCAAAATCAACCTCAAACAAAGAGGACAGGTGAGGAAGGGGTGCACGCTGTAGACGCGGCTTTTGGCGCCCACCTCACTGTTCACTGGGCGCCCAACAATGCGCACCTGAGGGGGACGAGGCGAGGGGAGGAGATAGGTGAGACAAGAGGAGGACGAGAGAGGTGAGGAAGGGTACTGTAGGAGCAGCTTCGAGCACCCTCCTCACTGTTCACTGGGCGCCCCACGATGCACACCTGCAGGAGGGGCGACGAGTGGCGACGAGGGGCGACGAGGGGCGACGAGGGGAGATAAGGCAAGCAGGCGGGAGGGACAAGGGGGACGAGAGGAAAGGTGCGAGGGTGGGTTGACTGTTACAGCTTCACTCACCTCCTTGCATCGCCACGCCACCGACCACACATAGCTCGGCCGCTTCCAGCTTATGGGCGGCTTCGCCAGGCGCACCACCCGCCGCTGCAGCGCCAGCAAATCCCCTGCTGCCACGTGTCTGTCCCCAGTGCATTCCGTAACTCCCGTCCTAGCGGCCTCTAGGCCCTCCTTTGCAAGGCCCAGGTGAGTGAGATCAATGGAGAGGCGGAGGAAGAAGGTGGCGAGGCAGGCCCTTCGGGAGCAGGGCGAAGCGACTAGCAGTCGCAGATCGGAAACTGCCTGGTTGTACCGTTTCTGCTTCTCCAGCCAGCCTACACCCCTCCACAGCACCTCTGCATACACGCGCTGCGCTTTGAACCGATGCCTCCACGACTGCTGCAGACCACTGCTCTCTGCTTCAGCGTTGTCACAAGACGTATACACTTTAGAGAACACTGCATCAGGTATATCTTCGTCAGAAAAACCTCCCCCAGGTGAATCTCCCCCATGTAGGTTTCCGTTTTCCCTGGGCTGGTCTCTGCCGTGCGATGTGCGTTCAGAGAGCGGCTGCAGCTGCTGTCTCGCTCCTGCCAGCGCTGCCATCAGCATTAACTCGTCTACATCCTCCTCCTCCGCTACTTCCCCCTCATCTTCTTCCTCCTCCTCTTCGTCCTCCCGTTCCCTCCTCTCCTCCTGCGGATCCTCCCTCTCCGCCACCCCCTCCTCGTTTTCTTTCTTCTCTCCTGCTGCCCTTTGATCTTCCTCCTCCCGCTCCTCATCCTCCTCGTCCTCCTCGTCCTCACCACCACCATATTCCCCAACCATATCAGCACAATCCTCAGACAGACGCGCCTTCTTGCCACCACTCCTCTCCGCCTCCCCTCCCATCCTAAAAACTCTCACATCTTTTGACGCTTTCCGCTTCTCACTCCCACTGCTACCACCCGCACCTGCACACCCTCTCTCACCTCCACTCCCTCTCCCACCCCCGCTCCCTCTCCCACCTCCATTCCCTCTCCCACCTCCTCTCCCTCTCCCACCTCCCCCCCTCCCTCCCGTTCCACTCGTCCCTGCTCCTCCTGCCGTTCTCCCCAGCCCATCTCCCTCCTCCCATGAGTCCACCCCCACAATCCTCTCCACCGTTTCCAACACCTCACATGCCTGCATGCACGCACGGATATGGACGGAGAGCAGCAGAGGCAGGAACACAAAGCGAGACAAGTTACGACATCTCCACTTCTCAATTTCCTTCAAGAAAACAGAGGAGCAGCAGAGGCAATCACACAAAGTGAGGGAGGTGAGTGGCAGCAGAGCGAGGCAGAACAAAGACGGTGATTGCAAAGAGCCACTAACCTGCAATACTGAATCCGTTTTGAGACGCCTAAGAACCTGCTCAAAATGTTCCGACAAATAATCTCCTCATATGTTGCCTTTCTTTTATGGACAGCACTAACCTGCTCGTATGCTAAAAGCTCCTCCCGAGAGGTGAAGACCGGTGCAGAGCGGTGGCAGCGGTAGGAGGGGTAACGACGCAGGCCAAAGTCGACGAGCAGAAAGGTGGTGAGGGATTGGGAGGAGTTGAGAAAAAATAGGCGCTGGGAAGGGGGAAGGCGAAGCAGGGGGGGATATAGTTGAAAAAGAAGGCGTGAAACAGGAAGGGAAGGATGATAAGACCAAGGGAATACCAGTGGTGAGGAAAAGAGAGGGGAGGAAAGAAGAGGGATTCCAAAAAGTGCCGCCATAACCATGCCTGCAAATTCCAGCCATTCTCGTGTATAAGAATTTTCAAGAATCCCTTTCAACCCATCTAGGCTTAGACAGTGTTACAAGCCTCCTTCGGAAGAACTATCTGCACTGCACTTGGGCAAGAAGGCAGCGGTTGATCTTTAAGTGCTGCTTACGATCATGCTTAGTTAAGCACGCAAGAGTCAGGCATTTTTTGAAAGGATTACCTGCACTCGGGCAAGAAGGCGAGTGATTGGAGGGGAGATGCGGAGGCAGGGACCGGAGAGGGCGAGGATGGCACGTGATAGCTTGTGCCTGGGGGCGAGTGGGGAGGGGGAGGAGGGAGATATTGGGATTAGGAAGTGGAGAGTGCGGGGACAGGGAGGGAGATGGGAGGTGGGAAGAGAGCTTGTGCCTGTGGGGAGAGGAGATGCGGAGGCAGGGACCAGAGAGGGCGAGGATGGCACGTGAGAGCTTGCGCCTGTGGGGAACAGGGGGGGGGGAATGGAATGGGGGAAGGGGAATGGGGGTTAGACGAAGGGGGAATGGGAGGTGGGAAGAGCACTAACGAGGAGTGGAGGGGAGATGCCTTTTGAGTCGACTCAAAAGTCACCTTTTGAGTCGACTCAAAAGTCAGGAAGGGGAATGGGGGTTAGACGAAGGGGGAATGGGAGGTGGGAAGAGCACTAACGAGGAGTGGAGGGGAGATGCGGAGGCAGGGACAGAGAGAGCGAGGGTGGCACGTGAGAGCGTGTGCCTGGTTCAAGGGGTTGGGGAACGGGGAAATGAGAAGTGTTGAGAGGGGCAGTACAGGCAAAGACAGCATAGTCAAGAAAGAAGGGCGCCAAGAAATAGGGAAGCAAGGGTGTTGAACTGCGTGTGAAAATAGGAATGAGTGGCGAGGAGAGGAATACGTGGGGGGGGGAAATGGGGGCAGGTGTGGGAAGAAGGAAGAAATGAGAGGAAGTTTAGAGTATTGGTTGCTGTTTGCACCTGAGGGTGTTGACACAGTGCGAGGCGGGCGTGGTGCGCTGTGATTGGCTGCTGCTGCTGCTGACTGTGAGGGCTTCCACGAGGAGTCTGACAATAGCCTCCTTCCTGCTTGAACGAATGACTGCTGCTTTCTGGTGAAAGGGAATCATGCATGGCATGGCAACAGAGGAGAATGATTTCGGGTCGACTGGGAGACCGATAATCCGCTGCTGCCGGTGAGGGCTTCCACGAGGAGTTTTTTTTAGGCGCCTCAAAAATTGTCACGAGGAGTCTTACAATAGCCTCCTTTCTGCGCGAACGAATCACCGCCCTCTTCTCGTGAAAGGGAAGGGTTGTGTGCACAATAACAGAGGGGGTTGGCTTTGAGTTGACTAAAAAAATCGCTGCTGCTGCTGTGGCTGCCTGTGAGGGCGTGCACTAAGGGTCTGACGACAAGGGCCTCCTTTCTGCTTGAACGAATGACTGCCTTTTTCTGGTGAAAGGGTGGGGTTGTGTGCACAAAAACAGGGGGAGTTGACTATGAGTTGACTCAAAAAGCAACTGCTGCTGCTGCTGTTGCTGGTAAGGGCGTGCACTAAGGGTTTGACGACAAGGGCCTCCTTTCTGCTTGAACGAATGACTGCCTTTTTCTGGTGAGAGGGACGGGTTGAGTAAACCGGAACAGGGAGAGCTGATCTTAAGTTGACAAAAAAATCTGCTGTTGCTGCCAGTGAGGGCTTGCACTATTAGTCTCACAAGGGCCTCCTTTCTGCTTGAACGAATGACTGCCTTTTTCTGGTGAGAGGGACGGGTTGAGTAAACCGGAACAGGGAGAGCTGATCTTAAGTTGACTAAAAAATCTGCTGTTGCTGCCAGTGAGGGCTTGCACTATTAGTCTCACAAGGGCCTCCTTTCTGCTTGAACGAACGACTGCCTTTTTCTGGTGAGAGGGACGGGTTGTGTTGTGTGCACAGAAACAGGGGAGCATCATCGACAGGAGGTTGCTTCTAATGAGTCACCGATACAAGCACAGTCACAATATACAGAGTCACAGAGTACACGGTCACAGCAGGCATAGTCACACCACGCATAGTCACAGCACGCATAGTCACACCACGCATAGTCGCACCAAGCATTGTCACGGACCTGGAGGTTGAAGGAGAGGGCGAGGGAGCGCAGGCGGTGCAAGGGCAGCAGGCGGTGAGTCACTGCCACTGCTGCCTCGAGCGACAGGATGGCTCCTCCGGGAATAGAATCAGGGCTCCAGGGAGTGAAGCCATTTGTGTGATTTTCTCTGGGTTCCTCTACCGCTGCTGCTGCTGCTGCTGCCTCCAGCGACAGGATGGATCCTCCGGGAATGGAATCAGGGCTGGAATGAGGTTCCCTCTCGTTGTACGAGGGTGTGACTGTAAGGAGCACTGCATCTGACTCTTCAGGAGAAGGAGGCGGCCATTCCTCTTCCATCCCAGACTCGCACCATCCCATTGCTAAAAATACAGAGAGAGTGTGGGAGAGAGGGTAGGAGAGAGGGGGCTTTAGAGAGTGAGTGAGGCAGTGCCGTAGGATCCATCTATGTGAAAGTGGCAGTGGCTCCTTACCTTGCCATACCTCTGTACTTGAGAGTCAGAGTATTGAAAGCAATGAGAAGGACCAATTGAAAAACAGAGTGTGTAAAAGAAGGAAGGCCTTTTGTAGAAGGGTGGTTGGGTTGGGGGGGTGCTTAGTGGTGGCGAAAATACATTGATTACCAAACATGCAGGGACCTTGAATCTTGCAGCAACGGACCGTAAAGGGACTCCACAGCTGATTGAAGAGCACCAACTGCTGAAGCTTCTCTCTCCTCAGCTGCTGCTGCCACCACTGCTTCTGTTGTTGTTGCTCTTGCTGCTGTTGCTACCGTCACTGTGCCCATGGCATCTCCCGCTTCTCCTGCTTCTCCTGATGTTTCCCTCTCTCCCAACGGTGCCCGTATCAGCCCTGAATCACAGCAGGTCTTGGCGGTCGTAGCAGTAGGGTTGGAAGGAAGCTTGCATGGGGAGTCTGGAAGGTACTTGGCAAGGGAGGAGAGGAGGAACCAGGGGCCTGGCAGGGTGGTGGGGGCAGAGGGGGGAAAACAGAGCGGGGGGAGAGGGAGAAAGAGAGGTGGTGGCGGTTGCATTCAAAGAAGAGACCCGCGTGAGTTGCCCAAAAGGTTTTTAGCAAGGGAGGAGAGGAGAAACCACGGGGATAGCAGGGCGATGGGTGTCTTGGGAAGTGGGGAAGGGGAGAATAGAGGTAGCAGTGGTAGCGTTGTCAGACATGGGTATGGTTACCAGGCAGCTGTATGGTTACCTTTCCGAAGAAAGATCCGAACAAAGACATACTGTGCTGGTGGAGGGAGCAGTTGGAAAGCTCCTGGAAGGGGCCAGGGTATGGACAAGGGTAGAAACGAGGCAAGGGTTGAGTTGAGTAAAGAAGCGAAGGACAATAGATGTAGACATGAAATATTAATAGAAGGAAAACGAGAGGTGTGCATGTGATGCATAGTAGGCGTGTATGTGCTGCACATTGAGTAAGTATGTGATGCATAGTAGGCGTGTATGTGCTGCACATTGAGTAAGTATGTGATGCATAGTAGGCGTGTATGTGCTGCACATTGAGTAAGTATGTGATGCATAGTAGGCGTGTATGTGCTGCACATTGAGTAAGTATGTGATGCATAGTAGGCGTGTATGTGCTGCACATTGAGTAAGTATGTGATGCATAGTAGGCGTGTATGTGCTGCACATTGAGTAAGTATGTGATGCATAGTAGGCGTGTATGTGCTGCACATTGAGTAAGTATGTGATGCATGTTGGTGACAGGACGAGAGCCATGATTCGTCCACTCATCCATCCTACATCCATGCATCCACCTACATACCCAGAACCTCTTTTCTTTCCCTCAAGACACGTACCCAACAGCTCCCTCTCCTCGGGTATAGAAAGGTGCCCATCTCGTTCCAAACAGTGCTCAGCATCAAGAAAAACTTCCTCACACGCGTCTCCCCTACCCTTTCTCCCCCTATCCACATACCCAGCACCGTTTTCCATCCATTGACACCCATGCCCACCGCTTTCCCTGCACACACGTACCCAACAGCTCTCTCTCCTCGGTTATAAAAAGGTGCCCATCTGATTCCCAAACAGTGCTCAGCATCAAGAAAAACTTCCTCACACGCGTCTCCCCTACCCTTTCTCCCCCTATCCACATACCCAGCACCGTTTTCCATCCATTGACACCCATGCCCACCGCTTTCCCTGCACACACGTACCCAACAGCTCTCTCTCCTCGGTTATAAAAAGGTGCCCATCTGATTCCCAAACAGTGCTCAGCATCAAGAAAAACTTCCTCACACGCGTCTCCCCTACCCTTTCTCCCCCTATCCACATACCCAGAACCGTTTTCCATCCATTGACACCCATGCCCACCGCTTTCCCTGCACGCACGTACCCAACAGCTCCCTCTCCTCGGGGAGAAAGAGATGCCCATCTGATCCCAGCACAGTGATCAGCATCAGGCTGAAGTTCCTCACTCGCATCTCCCCTTCTCCTCCCCATCCCTCCATATCCCCTTCTCCTCCACTCCCCTCCACCTCCCCTACTCCACCTCCATCTTCCCCTCCTGCATGCCGTGTCACAACACCATGCTTATCCAACACTGCTTCCTGGGTTCGCACGCGCTTTTGGACTGCTGACGTGGCATCTATGACAAACTGCCACGTGGAGAGAAATGAAGTTCTGGAAATGGAAGGTTTGCAGGGGTCTGCTGGTTCGCTGGTTGGAGGAAGGCTGGGTGTGTCTGGAGAAGGTGTGAGGAGGAGCGGAGTGATTTCGACACGGATACGGGCGAGTGGGGAGGATGGGGTAGAGGTGATGACGCCCTGGAATAACAGATAAATGACAAACAAACAAACAAAAAGCACGGACAATGACAAGTCAGGACGGGGGTAAAAACAAAAGGCGATCGTGCTAATCCAATCAGAATCGTTGTTGCGAGAAGGATGTGTAACACAGAAGCTTCAGAAACGACCCGATTTTTATCACAAATAGTTTATCGCTACCTTTACCTGCACTTCACATACCTGGACTTGGCACTACCGTGACGGTACACAAGTTTGTAGCGCCTTCACATAACAACACTCCACAGAAAAGCTCACCTCAAACCTGACGTCAGCATGTTCATCCATGACTGGAGCCAGAACCTGAGCCACTGCTCTTGATAATTGACCGATCGCTTCTCTTATTGTCAGCCTCCCATTACAAACACTCACCTCGAACCTGACGTCACTGTGCTGATCCATGACTGGAGCCAGAACCTGAGCCACTGCTCTTGATAAATGACCGATCGCTTCCCCCATCGCCACTTGCTGCCCCACTGTCCCCCCCGGTGTCATGGGTTGCCCTGACGTTCCTGCTTGACCCTTTGTTGATCGGCTCGCTGGTGATTGGTTCTCTGGAGTGCCTACTCTCCCCCCTCCTGTACCTTTTCCTCGCGAATTCAACCTCCCACTTCCCCTCTCTGCTCCTCGCGTTCCCTTAGCGCCAATCCTATCTTTCCCCTTTCCGCTTGGACTCCCCTTTCCTCTCCCTCCTCCTCTTCCTGCAGTTTCCCACCATCTCGCTTTGCTCCTCTCTACAATCACATCCTCGCCTCTGCTGCTCTGGCTGCCTCCATTGGCGGATCCGTCGTCCAGTATTGTCACCACCTGATAGGAGAACGTGTAGAAAAGAGATATATTGAAGGAGGATTGCGTTTCGCCTGTACAATCAAAGATCAAAACACTTGCTACAACATTGTCAAAAACATTCTCCTTTCAATGTGACACATTGCTCAGCCAGAAAAACATGCAACTGCATCTTCTTCAGTCTCGCATTGCTTGCTGCTATGCAAATGGTGTTCATACTCGGACCAATCCAATCTATTCTTGAGCTGAATGCATCCAAAACCTCCTACAAGGTATACATTACATATTACATTCTGCTCAATACACTCTGAGGCTCTTCACCTGCAAACTTTAGTAATGTTCCTATCTGTCACGTTTGATCGCGCTTTAACTACTAGCACTTCCGCTCATATCACCATCGCTAGCTTTTTTAACGTCACACTCCTGCTGACGTCACACTACCATTGACGTCACATGCCTAAGATGATGTAAACCTCGTAGTAATCACTCACTTGGACGGCGTTTCCGTCTGCCAGGTTGGATCGTTCCCTCGCTAATACCACTCGCAATCCCGCGTTGCACGGCACTCGCGCATGGAACCGCCTTCCTACAACCCACGTGGTGAGGCTCGGGTACTGCTCCATTCCAAGGCTGAAGCCTTGCTTCGGTAAATTAGTGGTCTCTAGTATCGACCCTTCTACTTTTCACTGTCTGAATGGTTGAGGTGGAAGACTGTGGAATTCACCGGCAATGTCGCATTCTGGGAATACTTCACCGCAACACAACAGAGCCAAGCAAGGTCCAAACATTCACAGAATAAGAGCGGTTCACGAGACTAAGAGCGGTTTGTATACCATTCGGTTCGGTTGAGTGAGGTCTCCAGGAAAATGACCACTTCTGAGGCCACCGAGAATGACATGCCCGGAAACACAGATACCAGATCACCACGCGAGAAAGGAGGAGGCGTCATGCTGACGACTGGCGAGGCGGATGATGGGGAGAGTCGGGTTGGGGGAAGCTGGGAGAGGAGGTGGCGGAGGGGGGTGGGGGAATGCGGTGGGGAACTGGGAGAACGGGAATGTTGGGCGGAATACTGAGGCTCGCGGGGAGGGGAAGAGCGCGAAGGTTGTATGCGAAAGGTGTTGAAGGAGGCGGAGTCGAGTAGTTTGGTTGCTGCTACATTATTACTGTACTCATTTCACTTACACAGACAATCCTGATCCAACACATTATGTAGCAGCAATTTATTCAATAAGAACACCAACTGGCACAAGTTTGGGGGACACGTGGTCCCTTATAGCCACACCGTATTCCACAACAGTTTTACGACGTATTGCATTAACAAGTCTACTTCACCGCATACGGATTAATTTTCCCGTTGGGGTTAATCAGCGCTGCAGCAGCTGTTTCTGAAGAATCATGCACCTCCATCAACATCCAGTCCTCCACCTCGCCCTGCAAAGCAGAACACAATAAAAGAAATTAGGGCGAATATAATGAAACAAGGCATGCAGCAGATAACACGTGTATGCAACCAACCAACAGGTGACACTGAAAGTAACCCACGAATGCCCATGTGACGCGTGGATCATGTGTACCTGTCCTCGCCGCAGCAGCACTGGACTGTCACCAGTCATATCCACCACTGTGGATGGCTCTGGCATGCGAGCACCCCCATCCACAATGAAATCCACACCCTGCCATCAAATAAGGGGAGGGGTTGATTTGAAAAAAAAAAAGAGGAAATACTTGGTGACCAGCAGCTTAACTGACACGTATAGAACCGCAACTTGCAGGGACGTAAGGGGGTAAGGCCAGAGATAGTAGCAAGTTCATACATAACAGTATAGGAGAATGAACAAAATCTGGACAAGCTCACTCACCTCTGACCCATCTTCAGACCGGTAGGTGAGTCCGACCACTGAGGGGTCCAGCAACCAGCGTTCGTCTGAGCTCTTGGTGGCACTGTGAATTTGAAAGGGGGAGAAGAGAGACGGGGGAGAAGACAGTGGTGAAGAACGGAAGGTGAGTCCGACGACTGAGGGGTCCAGCAACCAGCGTTCGTCTGAGCTTTTAGTGGCGCTGTGGAATCCAAGGGAGAGAAGAGGGTCCCGGGAGACGAGAGTGGTATGATGCAGAGACTAGAATTAAGAACCGGCTCAAAAGTCGCTGACAGCCCTCCTGCGTGATGGACGGAGCAATCAGCAAAGTTTGAAGTGTGGAGTCAGGGGGGGAGAGGGAGGGACGGGGGGTGGCGGATAGGGGGGGAGACGATGGAACAGAAAGTCACAAAAGGAAATAATTTCTGTGAGCATGGCAGCTGACCTGGTGCACAGGAGAGGGTCGTCCAGCAACTCGAGCAGCGCGTGGCAAACAGGGTCCAGAGGCATCCTCACCCCCACGCTCTTCCTGGGAGAGTGTAGTGTCCTACTGTTAGACATGCCTCGGATAGGTTATCACAGCTGACCTGGTGCAGAGGAGCGGGTCGTCTAGGAGCTCGAGCAGTGCGTGGCAAACGGGATCCAGAGGCATCCTCACCCCCACACTCTTCCTGGGCGCGCAGTGCGCCACTGCACTGCCCCCAAACGTCGTGCACTGCTTCGGCATGGCCTTGCTCGCCTTGAGAATGAACGTGTACTGATGGAGGGAAGGCAGAGCGGATGCGGGGGAAAGGGACGGGAAAGGAGGAATGGAAGGGCGAGCGGTGACTGAGTGGTGTGAACTTCTTCGGCATGGCCTTGCTCGCCTTGAGAATGAACGTGAGAGAGATGAGGGCGTGTACTGGAGGCAGAATGGGGGTTGAGGGAGATGGATGTGGGAGAGTGAGAGATGGTGGGTAAACAGTGAGAGTGGTGCACTGGCAGTGTTTTCACATGGCATAATGAACTCTGGGGCAGGAAATGGAAACTATCAGGAAATGGCAGTGTTTATACATGGCAGTTTTACGCAGGTACAACATAGCCAGTACAACATACAGGTCCAGGAAGGCATTGTCGGGCAGCCCGGAAAATGTTTGTCTGCCCATGGCCGTTGCCGCGGGGAAAGCCCAACGTGTAGGTGTCAATGTCTTGGAAGTTGCGGCAGAGGATACTCAGAGGCTGCAAGTAACGAGTGTGAAGGAAATTAGAGGGTAGAGTGGAGAACAAGGTCACTAGAGGGTAGAGTAGAGTTACAAAGAAATGTGCGGCTGTAGAGGCACGAGGGAAAAAGTGGAACAAGTGGTGTATGACGACTGAAGAAAGGAACATGCAACTTCTTGCAGGGAAAGAAGAAGAAAAACATCAACTATGGTTACCTTTTGGGGTCCAACTGCTTGATACTGCAAAGAGACGAGAAACAAGAAAACGATATGTGCAGGAGTTCAAGTTAGAATATGACCACAATATGACCCCAATATGGCTTCAACAACCACATCATCAGACAGGACAACAAATCCTGACTCAAGAAATTTGTGCCTCATGGCGAAACGGAACATTACGAGCTGAAAAGAAATCGTCAAGGATGTGGGAGAACATGCAGAGGACATTGAGAGTTGGTTGGTGCGTTGTAAGAGTCTACCAATGGCGTACCGGTAGAGTCTGTCAATGGCATCTCGGTTCTTGACGTCACACACCAGGGCATATCTGCACACGTATAGGTAGAAGCAACATGTGGTACGGGTATATAGAGCGAGGGGTGGCGGTGTGAGAAAGGCTACTGGCGCCACACAGTCTGTCAATGGCATCGCGGTTCTTGACGTCACACACCAGGGCATATCTGCACATATGGGTGGATACAACACGTGGTAAGGGTACACGGAGCGGTGTTACTTTTAAGGATTCTCAGAAGTAACACCAAACCAGGGCATATCTGCACATATGGGAGGATACAATACAACGCGTGGTAAGGTTACATGGAGCGAGGAATTAGCGGTGTGCGGAAGGCAACGAGGGCCAATCCAGCCCAAGTGCAACCAATTGGGTTCATTTATTCAACTCAAATCCAATGGGTGTCGATAATCTGAATTCCTTGGCTCTAGCAAGACCCTCTCCGCAGCCCACCAGTACCCCAACTGGCCGTTATTCTCTTTGTTTCACTCCGTCACTCCATCCTTCCATACACACAGAGCCAGCCAACACATTGCATGCTAACCCTTCCCAGCTACCCCACCACACCCCCACCACACCCCACCACACCCCCACCATACCCCACCACACAGACAGGATGATCGACTCACACAGTGTCAGTCGGAATGAGTCCAACGGCGCCTTCCTTGATCAAATCTGCTATTCCCTTGAGCTTCCACGAAGCATCGGATCCTAAAGGGTCAACGGTCACCACATCCACGTCGTTGGCCTGACATTCAAAGAACCAGGGGAAATAAAAAACACAAAGAACGCTGTCAACAATAACTTTTGAGCAGACGCAATGCGCTTCGTTACATTTACATAGCTTTACATAATCCAAGGGGAAAGTTTTGACATGTCAGTCGCGAAGTCAGGAAACAGAAATTCGCACTGCATCCTAGAATGTGAACGGACTCGCGATTTCAGTGATAGGTGACATTGACAACTCTTGAGGCGGCTTAGAAGCTTGTCAATGACACCTTCTCGTTCGGTCAGGCAACAGAATGGTCAGTTTCCAACCACTACGTTCTCCACGGTTATCATTCTGCTCCTCCCTGGTCCAACTCCCCACGTCCTCTCTGTCCTCCCCTATCTCCTTATCGAACCCTCATTTTCCCTGTTTTCGTTCATTCTGAGCGGGGAAAGTTGCACATACCTGCCGTGAGCCTCCCGCATATTTGAGTCGCTTCGGGTTCCTCTTCATACTCGCGGAGACGAGGACCGGTTCTGCTTTGGGCTTGTAAGAAGCAAGCGAGTTCACTCTTAACGGGGTAAGGCGAGTGCCGGCGAACTCCGACGAAGTAAAGGAACAGCGAGGAATCGTCGCGCGAGCGTGCATGACGGAGGAAGTGGCGAGCTCCGGAACGCGTGCACTGATAGCAGTTGCATCCATGGCGGCCAGTGTTGGCATCAACCAGTGAATGATTGAGTCTCTGAGAGTGTTGACCAAGCTGGTGGTACCAGAAAGGGTTAATTTAGGTGGATGGTAGATAGTCGCAGGCGTAAAGCAGGACGCCGAGACCAGATAGAGCCAAGGATCCGTGTGTGACGGAGTTGACAATGTGAAAATTGATAAAGTGGGCTTGGCTGTGCTTCTGCCTGCAATGCAATGTGCCTGAGAGGTGTGGCTCACACAGGGAACTCCACACCAGCTCAGGGAATTCCGCAGCGGACAGCTGGGGCCAGCAATCTTCACATGCTCACGATGATACTCGCATAATCGCACGCAATCTCGAGAATTTCGCATAACTGCGGGAAACAAAGCGCGCTGATTCTCGAAAAGGACATCTGATCATGTCTGTCTTGGACCCGAACCTCTTTCGATAACAAACCTCTTCCATAGCCACATATTGTGGCTCGGACTTGCCACGGAGGCGTGGGAGGATATTTCCAGGCCGACTGAACTGCTTTGGTGTGCCTCGCAAACGCTGGTTCCCAATCTGACTTGGCTCGAGTTTAGTGGCAGCATCTTTGGTGTGGTCAAAGCGCTTTGGTCAAAACGAATGTGCTCGGCTGGCATCGCCAGCTTTTCGCGTCATCAAATGACGTGTCCATGAAAGACTGGTGATATTTGCCGCAACTTAAGCCAGCTGTCGTCTGCCCACCTCAGCTGTTCTCGGTGTAGCTTAAGTGCAGTGCTGATGAAAACTAAGTATTAACCGATATACTCTACATTCAACTGTGATCATAAACTAGAGTCTATACCGCTAGGACATAAACTAGAGTCTATAGCCAAGCCGGCCGTGTTGATATGAAATCTTAGTAAAGTATGTTACCTAAAATTTTCTTAGACAAAAATTAACAAAATTACAACCGCCATTTCAAGAGTAACAGCACTCTGAAGCACAAGGAGCGCGTCGGAGAACAAGCCAAAGAAGCTCACTGTATAAGGATGTCAGATGCTCTGACCATGAGTATAGCAGCAACTAAAAGAAGGCCGCTTGAATGAAATTAATATTCCTGTAATACCAGCCATGACCTGTCACTCTTCGGGTCTTGATTCTTGGTTTCAAGTTGACTTGAAAACGCCCTCCTCCCTAGGCAGCTGACATGCATCAGCTAATTAGCCTCAGCCGATTTGCTTCAGCTGGTTATTGTGCTGGACGATTCGTCGTCAGCATCAAAGGGTAGCAAATGCCACGGCAAATGCTTTTCCTTGCTCCACACATCCCCTCCCATCCCCCTTCCTGCTGCTGCATCTACTCGTCCCCCCATCCCTAGATGGACTGCTCCAGATGACATGGGTGCCGTTGAACCAGAAAGAGAAGCCAAACCCGAGGACCATCCAGCAGCTGCTACAGCCGCAGCAGCATATGCATTGAGCCGGAAACTTGGCAGGAGGCTCGGGTGCAAGCTTCGGGCGTGTAACCAGGTAACCATATCGTCCAGAATTCTCGCCATCACATCGTCAGGCTCTGCTGTGGTCAACCCGTGCCAGCACTCCTCGTACAACCTAAAAGTCTTATCCCTGCTACAAGCCTGCTGGAAAAGCGCCTCGCTAACCGACGGATCTGTCACCACATCTGCTGCACCGTGCATCAGGAGAAACGGCAGCGAAACCTTATCCAGATCTCGGCCAATCCGCTGCGTCGCCTTCAGCATCTGTAGCGCCGTTTGTAGCCTCGGCTTCCCGCCATACCCCACCGGATTCTCGCACAATTTCGCCCTCTTAACCGGATCCCGAAACCCAATCTCCGCAATTTCCCTGGTCGGGACCAGCTTCGCTCGAGGGAAGATACTCGCGAGAAAGGATAAGGTGGTGACGACGGGTTTAGGAGGCATCATCTCCGGCGCGATCTTGCACATGGGAGCGGCAAGGATTGCGCCCTGCCACGAGGACGGCTGGCGGAGATGCGTGAGGAGCGCCACTGCTCCGCCCATGGACTCGCCGTAGAGAAAGAACGGGAGGTGCGCGAGGGACGGCCGAGCTGATAGAGGAGACGGGGAGTGGTGGAGAGAGGCAAAGCGAAGGGGAGATGCGATGTGAGCACAAAATTGAGCGCGGAGTGAAAGGGCAGGCGAGGTGAGCACCAATTGGGATATCACATCACACAATATTGATAATTTTGCGTGCAGTTGAGGACACCATTCTTCCTTTTTTTGAATTCTCTAACGTTCAGGTTTTTCACATTAAGCTCACGGACCTCTCAGCGATGCAGTGAATTCCGTAATGTCATCCACGAGATTGTCGAATCGCGGAATAAACCCGTGCAATCCAGCAGACAAGCCGAACCCTTCGTAATCCAATGATTCCACTGCGTAACCGGACGCGCCCAACCGTATCGCGACGTCCTCAAACGCGTATGCGCAGGTGTCGCCGTAGCCGTGGCAGTAGAAGACCACGCCGCGCAGACGACCGTCAATGGGAAGCCATTGCTTCGTGAAAAGCTCGACGCCTCGTGAGTTTATAAAATAGTCCTCTGATGACGTCACACCGTAGTATTCCTGCAAAGCGGAGAAGGGCGGCAGAAGGAACGAAAATGAGAATAATACAACGGTACAAAAATTGTCACGACCAGACACTTTTGTTTTCCTCTTTTTTTGGCACAGGAATTCGCGCAAAAATCGAGGGATGAATACTCCATGACTTTGCGAACTAGGAAGCGCGAGAGACCGACCCTTCGCAAGTCGCGAGCAGACAAGGCCAGACATCAATCTGCCTCGGCTCGCGTCCAGTCACTCGCAGTCTGTCTTCGCGACTGACGGACAAGAAATGGGAGGACAGCACTAAAGCGAGGAAGCGTAAAACAAAACAAGAGCATCAGGCACGATAGAGCGAGAAAGGACGTCGCCGTGTTCCTTGCACAAGCGCCATAACGAAAACCGACAGTGACGAGAAGGAAATAAGATGGCGGAAAGGCATGGCAAAGGGTGAATTACTCACGTAAAATTCCGGAGACCGCTTAAACGCCTGCCTCGCTTTTCGCCGGCCGGTCTCCCACTCCAACGAGAGCTCGTTCTGGCGACTCGAGGACCGTCTGAGAAACGCTAGCGAGAACAGCAGGAGCGCTGCGAACACGACGAGGCAGAACATCCTGTCGAACTGGATTGGCAGAAGAACGGCAGCTACGGAGAGAGTTCCCGCTATTAACGAGTCTGCTGATAGCGTGTACGTCCCGCTACTCAGCGGCGAGTGCACGGAAGTGGCCGACATGTTGAAACCTTCTGAAAGGAAGCTTTAGTGGAAAAGGGAAGAGGATGCCAGGAGGCGACACGCTTACAGTGCTTCCAGTCCGTTGGCGCAAAATTCCTAGCGCGCAGTCTCACGGAGTGCGTTGCTGCTTTGGAGTGCTTTCACAAAAGTGCAAGGAAGCGACCCGAGGAGGATAGGGGTGAAAGATCAGCAAACACTACTTTGCGAGCTTTTTTGTTCTTGATGGGTTTCTAGTGACGAGGGCGTGAGAGGAGGATGATGTGGTGCCACGGCAACGAGCAAACCAGATGATAAAGCAGCAACATCAGCTCTAACGAGGGGCTTTATCAACACCGCTGAGCAGCCCGAGCCGTGTGGGGGAAGGATGAGGTTGGGTGAGTATGGGGGAGGGAAGGGGAGAGAGCGAGAAAAGGGTGTGAGGAGGAAAAGCGAGTGATGGCTGCCGAACCAAAGCGGAAAGGGATAGGGCACACATGTGAAATTTGGGTGGTATGGGTGGGGGGGGAGTGGGGTGGGGAGAGACTTCGAAGAAAAGCGCAAGCACCAACCAAGCACCACCAGCACGAAATGAATTTCATTTGGCACTGCCAGCCAGGCACCCGAGCACGCAATGTTGAAAGCTGCGTCAGACTCGGAGTCGCTATCGTGTCAAATGAAGGCGAATTGGCGAATTGGAACAAACGAAAGTGCCGCCATACAAGAGGCGCGCCAGCTTGATTGGTTGGTGCTGCTGTTCTAAAAGTTTCGCCAGCAATAATTCTGCGATGCCTGCCTCTGGCAATGTGGGAAGGACTCCTGCGTTTGGATTGGCTGACGTCGTCTCTTTTATTCGCGAATTTTCGATTTGGACTAGCATTTTGACAAAGACATGTCAAGATGAAACGAGTGAGTGCTGACGAGCGAGATAACAAGACGAGACGTTTTGGGCAAGCATCACAGCCCGCTTTCTGGCAGGGGATATTCGATCTTACCGTGCGGTGGGACTTAGGCGCCGGGTTACCCTCTCGTCGGTGACCGTCGCTAATCTAACTGATACAGCGGGACGGAAAAGCACGGTGACTTACTATTACTCAAACTAGGAGGGCACTCTTTTCTGGGTTTCCCGTTACGCTACGGTGTCTTCTAATTGGTTGATGGAGGAGCTAGTGACGGTGCTTGCTAGTTCTCTACGGCGAGCACGTGATTATGGAGGGGGCTCGTTCGACCATGATCCGTTTCCACTCAAGCGTGTGACGCTGGTGCAGCCCGGACCAAACTAAAATCCCCACCCGGCAGACCACTTGCTGACTACGATGACCTACTTACTTAAACAAACTCTTTAGAATGTTCGTATGATTGAATTTAGAAGTACGCTTTTAGAACCAGAGGCGTAGCACCCAAGGAATAATTAATTCCCTGGGACAACGACACCCTAAACATGCAACTTTTATACACTCGGGACGTGCAAAATTACCTCAAAACTCCGTTTCCATTGCGCGCCGAAACGCGAGCACAACAACCTAGTGAAGAACGAAGAAGCTTCGGTTGACCAATCACACCACTTAGAGGATGCGTTCACACGCTCGGCTCACGCACGGCCATTCATTTTCCTTCAAGAAGCCGCGCGATTCGACTCGACGCTGTGTGGGAGTTGTTGGTGACACATGCTGCTGAACCAAAAGTACAGTTCTGTACAAGTGTCCATCTCACCAACCTTGCGTGTGACGCGCTGACATGGCATAACAGATCGAAAATGAGCTGCTGATTTAGAGGGATGAAACGTCGATCTGTAGGGAACACACCATCTGCCACACCCAGTCATCGAAGATCTCGAGCCGCTATTTCATGGTACGTCCAAGAAATCAGGGATGTTGGAAGGAAGGAGTCAGCGAGCAACGGAATGGAACAACGCGAGGATCACATTTCCCTGTTATAGCGGCGTGAATGGTGGATCATTTTATGAAAACTAAGGTGACGAAGTAATGTACACCAAATTGCCAGGCCCTAATTGCAAATTATTTACATTTTTTTTGCCTTACGAATGCATATGTGAGTGCATATGATGTATGATGTGTGCTTGATGTATCTGATACAATCTGAACCGTCTTATAGGATCGTCTCAGGTTGATCACACGGAGTGTAGCAGCGGAAGGTTTGCTTGGTAATGTCGGGTATGGACTCTGTCAGTAGAAGGAGATTTGAATATCGACAGAAGTGACTAATACAATGCGGTACATGGATTAATATAGGAATAGAGTGGAATACGAAAGGTCCTAGCTAGCCATGTACTATGAGGGGGTAGATTCTCCTTAGGGCTAATCTAGATGCAGGATTGCAACCGTGCGGTACGGTAACTGTGCGAGGTTCGGTAACCGTTTGAAGTTTTCCCGCGCTTGGCACCTCAAATACTTCCTGCTTGTAAACTGTTGTTAGAGTAGGGTGGTAGGGATGATTCAACTATCGAGAAGGTTTTGGTACAAGAGTGAAACCTAAGGGGTTGTACCCCACAGTGAGTACCCCACTAAAGCCTATCTAAACTATAATATATAAATATATGTTTGACACACCCCCATAGGCAAAGTGGGGGAGAGCAAGGGGTCACAAGACCAGTCAAGAAAGGCAAAACAAGCTCAGGGTGGATCACAACGTCACCACACTCACTGAGCACAAGCAAAGGGCCACAAGGCCAGTTCACATGCAGAGGCATATATGTAACACAAACATCACAGTGATCTCTACATAGCAAAGCAAGCATGCAGGTATATATATATAGATCACAGTACAAGCAAGGCCTACAGCAAGTGAGGAAAAGTGGGCACAAGCCCTAGCATAGTGCAGAAACGCTGATGATCACCAGCCTGAAGTGCCTTGGTGAATATATCAGCAGTGTTGGCCCGAGTGGCCACGTAACGCAGACGAAGCTGACCACGCTGCTGCAACTCTCGAGCCAGAAAGTAACGCAGAGCGATGTGCTTCGTTCTGTGCTCCAGTCTGTGCTCCTCACACAAGGCAATGGTAGCCTTGTTGTCGACGTACAGCGCTGGAGGAGAACGAGGCCGCTCTCCCAAGTCAGTCAGCAGGTAGGTGAGCCAGTGTAACTCCTGTGCAGCCATGGCTGTGGCGTAGATCTCAGCCTCACAACTGGAGCTGAGAACTGAAGACGAGCGTGTAGAACGCCACGAAACTGAACCAGAGCCAAGGCTAAAGGTGTAACCCTGTGACGACCGCTGTGTAGCCTGGTCGTCAACCCAAGAAGCGTCTGAGTGCCCAGTGAGAACAACTGAGCTCCTCCCTCCAAGCACGAGCCCCATGCCTGATGTACTGCACAAGTAGCGCAGTACCCTCTTAGCAGCATCCATGTGCACCTTTCGGTGCCGACCAGGAGCCACGTAGCGAGCCAGAAGGCCAAGAGGGTACGCAAGGTCAGGACGAGTGCAGGTCATCAGGTACATGAGGCAGCCAACTAGCTCTGGGTAAGGACCACTCGGCTCTACCGACTCGTCCGAAGGTGGAGCTGAGAGCGAGTGACCTGTAGGCAGAGGAGTGGCCTGTGCCGAGGACCAGGTGAAGCCGAAGCGCTGAAGGACCTGCTGCACCATGTGTGACTGAGTCAGTGTGATGGTGCGGCGTGCTCTGTCCCGGGTGATCCGCAAGCCAAGATAGCTTGTCAGCTCACCCAGGTCTGTGCACGTGTGTCTCTTCTGCAGATCCGACTTCACGTGGGCAAGAGCCTCAGTGTCAGCAGTGGCAAAGACCAAGTCGTCGACGTACACGAGGATGTAGAACGGCGGCAGCGAAGTGTCGGTGCGTAGAAACAGCGACGGGTCAGCAGTCGACGGAGCAAACCCAAGAGCCGCAAGTGTCGTGCTCAGTGTGTCATGCCACTCACGTGGCGCCTGGCGGAGACCGTAGACCGGCCGCCTGAGGCTCCACTGGGTACCAGGAGGGAACGACCCAGTGAAGCCAGGTGGGCGGCGCAGCCAGATCTCCTCGTGCAGGCTGCCCTGTAAGAAGGCTGTGCTGAAGTCAAGAGAGTGAAGCTCGTAGTCACGCTGAGCGGCAACGTGCAGCAGCACCCGAAGAGTGGTCATCTTCGGGGTGGGGGAGAAGGTCTGGAAGAAGTCTACTCCCTCTCGCTGACTGAAACCTCGTGCAACGGAACACGCCTTGAAGACAGGCGGAGAACCTGGCGGCCGCTTTACCCTGAAAATCCACATGCCACTGACGATGTTCGCCCCAGGTGGGGGAACCTCGTCGACGTAGGTGCCTGTGGACTTCCAGGATGCCATCTCTGCGTCCATGGCTGTCTGCC